GGCAGGGTCTCTCACTGAATCTGAAGCTTGTTGATTTGGCTAGACTTACTGGCCAGTGAGCCTCAGGGGTCTTTTTATCTCCTCTTCTCCAGCAATAGGCTTATACATTCATGCCTATGTACCTGGCTTTTTACATGGGTTCTGGGGATTGAACTAGGTTTTCATGTTTGTGCAGCAAGCGTTTTTACCAATGGAGCAGTCTCCCTAGCCTTGACTGCATTCTGTATACCAGTTGTTTTCGTCTATTTGCCACAAACAACCCCGAGACATAGTGATTACTGTAATGGAGAAATTTACAGATGAGGCAGTTGAGTCACAGTGAGATGAAATGACAGTATCTACAGGTGTGTGGCCCAGGGTCACAGAACTACAGTTCAAAGCCAGCCTGATGCATGCAAAGCTCTGGTTTGTGATCACAGGTGCAGCTCAGTGGCAGGGCACTTGCCTTAGAATTTGTGAGGCCCTGGATTTGACCGCCACTGTGAAACAAAAAACAATCATTCAAACAAACAAAAACACAAAAAAAAAGAGAGAGAGAAAGAACCAAACAACAACCACCCTAGAAAACAAATAGCAAAGCAAGCCTCCAGCTCACTTCATGCAACTTCTCAGCATGCTGGACTAGAGGCAAATTGAATTCCAATAAACACATGGAGCCAACAGACTTTAAGAATAGAGTCGTCAACTTCTCCTTTCTCAGAGAAGAACCAGACAGACTTCTAGTGAAGTAAAGGAGAAAGGAAGAGACAATACCCTAAATATTGTTTTTAGGTTGAAAAATGGAGTCCGAGTTCAAAGATGCTTAGAACCACAGCAAGCCAACACCACATACTGCTGGAGACTCATGAACTTTGACGTACAGGAGGAGGAGAATTTCCAGCATGGGATAAATCATACAGCGGATAAAAGGTAAAAATTTGAATATGCACGTAGCTATGAGCATCACCATAGAAAGTCACGAAAGAACAACTCCCAAGACAGGGACTCAACTTCGGAGATGTGAATGAGAAAAACTCATGAAGCTGATCATGAGACCACATTTAACAGTTTCCATCACTCAGGAAAGTCTCAGAGGCAATTATCAATTACTTTGTGAAATGTATACTGATAAATCACCCTGGACTTACGATGAGGTGGCTTTCAATGGTGCAAAAGCTATTGTCTTTCAGGAGGAACTTTACTGAGAAATTTGCACTTTGATCTTTTCCTGGGTCAACTATGCCCTCTTCAATCCTTTGGTTATGCTGGTGGCCGCTGTATTCAGACCCGTGGTCATAGCATGAAACAAACCACTCCCCACAGTGTTTCAAGGCAGGATGCTCTAGGCTGGGTTTCTCAGGTGTAGTAAATATATTTTCAGTTTGGGATGTGTCTATTTGAACGTGACCTTACCATAACTCAAGGAGCATCCGGACGGCTTTGACATTTTAAATTGGACCAGTATAGAACAAATACAGGAGAAAGCAATATTACTTTTGAATGCTGTAACTGGATAGTTGTTTATCAAATATTATGCTCCCCTTTCTGCAGTGTGGAGCTACTGCTGGGAAACAGATGGAGCTCAACCAGGGGACCTTTCTCAGCCTCTATACTGGTCTCACAGTAGGCAGAGCGCAAGCAAGGTATTCATTTTTAGATTTCACTGGCTGGATCCAGAGGGTGATGAAGCTCCATGCTTCCAAGCTTCTAAAAGAAAGTTTTATTGGAACACAACCATACCCGTTTGTTTGCTTGTTGCCGTGGTTACATCCCCACTACAAGAGTGAGTGGAGCAGTTGTGACAGATTGAGCTTATAGTTTACTATCTGGCCCTTTAAGAAAAAGAGCCATCTTCCTTGGAGGATGGTGGGGGATGGGGGGGGCAACAAGATTAAGGAGCCTGCCATGGAGGATTCCTCTTGGTGGAAACCTCTTCCTGGGCTGTTAGAACACTAAATAAATGCCATGACATGCCAATGACAAAAGTGATTCAAATGTATAAGTAAAATGTTTGTAATTTCTAAAAACAGAATTGTGAAAGGTTGCTCCCAGGAATGTCAAGATGATTTGGGAAGAAATCAATGCCACATGGCTGTCACAGGCAGAAGTTGTCTTTTCATATCATTGTTGTTTTGCATCCTTTGAAAGCATCTTACTCAGTATCCTCTTCAAATCACCCTTAGGGAAGAACACATCCTTATACTACCTGTACCAAAAGCACCTGTCATACATAAAGGTGGGTGACTACAGACTTCCAGCTAAAAGAGAAATGGTTTGAAAAACATGTGCTCCTCAAGCTGTCATAACACAGATAAACATAACATAGACAGCCTGACCTGTTATCACTTCATCTTTACCAGACAGAGTCTTGCTGTACAGCCCAGTGTGGCCACAAGCTCACTGCCTCCTGGCTGCTTTGAACCACTGTCAACCTATCAGTAATAATAGGATTCTATTAAGCAAGAGGTACATGATTATTCAATCATCTCGCATGTCATTATTTATTGAATGTGTATGATTTATATAGGCTTTCTATGCCATATACATAATTTTATACATAAAGTAGGTGTTTCTATGGCTCTTTAAGAAAAAGAGCCACCCTGCTAGATATATGTATGTAGTAAAATTTTATTTTATTTGGTATACTACACTGTATCATCTATATAATGTATATCAAATTGATATAATCTACAAATGTAAATACATACTGGAATTCTTGAACTATTGAAATGCTACTATGCATGTATGGTTCTAAGATGACATTGATTATATAATAGATAGGTATTCAACTACCAGTCATTATACATAGTGGAGCAGGAAACATGTTTCATTTGTAGACACAGACATTTCGACTGAAACAGGGTGAACTGAGAAACTTATTGGCACTCTTAAGGAAATCTTCAAAGATGCTAAGAAAAAAGAAATATGCAAAATTAATGTTTCCAGTGTCACAGTGATCCAAAGGATCTGGCTTATAACAACAAAGCATGTTGAGGGAAATATAAGGTTTGGGTAAATGGAAAGGAACCTTGTGTTTCTGACTTAGAAGAATCTGTATCCTTTAAACATATGAATCCACAGCAAATTAACTTATAAATGTGTTGCATTCTCAAACAAATTTTGAAAGGAGTAAATTAGCATACAAAAAACCATTCCTAAGTTTTGTCTCCAGTACACCTCTGTAAGTCGCCAGGAAACAACAGACAGAGCAGACTAATGCAAAGAAGTTTTTGAAGATAAACGTGAAATCAAATTGTAAAACACACCACAAAATTTTGGGCAAAGCAAAATTGCATGTGCCTCTTAATCTAAGTCCTGAAACATTTTCAGAGGCACTCAGATTTCAAATGTGAAAATTCAGGTGTGTATATGATGATCTAAGTGAAAAAAGTCTATATTCTTGAGCTCAGAAATATTTTCCTTTTCTTTCTTTCTTTTAGACCAGGCTGGCCTCCAACTCACTGAGATCCGCCTGCTTCTGCCTCCCAAGGGTTGGGGGATTAAAGGCATGTGTCACCACTGCCAGGCAAGCTGGGAACTATTTTCGATAAAAACAAGTTTAGAAACTATGAAGAAAAAGATGAACAGATGACAGAGAAATTTGAAAATCCTGTGTGCAAATTCAGGATGCACAAGGCAATGTAAAATGGTAAAATGTCTGCCACCCTAACGATAGATTTTTCTTTTCTTGTATAAGTAGCACATACATGGAGAAACACAAGCAGGAGGAAGAAATGAGAAAAGGCTACCGGTTGGATAAACACAAGGGCAGGTGTAAGGACAGTATACGCTAAAGGTGCAGGTTAAAAGTCTTTTGCCTACAATAGAGAAGTAACAATTTATAGTCATGGAATAGAATGTTCCAAGAACTGATGAGAGATGCTCAATGGCATTTTCTCCCCCAGACTTTCTTTCTGTCGGTGGAAGCATCTATCAGAGCAGTGATGAAAGTGAGCACTCCTGAGAACTGTAGGCCAAGTTCACAGGCACAAGACATTCCATGTGGAGACTGGGTGTGAAAAGGACAGACAACCACAGTGAGATGTCCAAATGGGCACTAGGAGTGGAGTCAGTGTCTCTCCTGGAGCTCCATAGTTACACATTCCAAAGGCAGCATCCACATGACCTCTGAATGGATGGGTAAGACCAAGACATGAATCAACTCAAGGGCAACTCACAATAAATGTAGTTTAGAATAAGATATCCTTACATGTGCTTTTGGTAACATATTAAAACATTTAAATATCTATTGATAAATAGTACCTTTCAAGTGCCTCCAGGAGCTGCCTGTGGGTCTAACGGGAAGAAAGTCAACTTGCCTATAGGAATGTTCATCTCCCTACTCCACTCTCCCTTGTTGACCCAACTCAAAGCATAGCTTAGCTGAACTCTGTACTTGCAGGCTGTTTGGATCTATCTAAGGTCGGTCGGTCTAAAGGTCTATGAAATGAGTTAAGGTGGTTTCTGAGGGAATTGGTGAGTGCATCATCTCCTTGAGTGGCCTCAGACATCACATAAGAATGGTCAGTTTCACACATGTCATAGCGTAAGTTTTGCTTGTGAAAGCCTGGACATTGTCATCTCCATCTCAACCCTAGCACACAGCAGCCAACTGCTATTCCCACTGTACTAGTTCACTCACTACCTCTCTCTCTTCATTGATTGACTTGGTTTTTAAGATCTCACTTGAAGCCAGATTGGCCTAGAACTGACTATGGAGCTCAGGCTGGCCTTGAAATCACGGTAATCCTCCTCTTTCAGCCTCTCAAGTGCTGGGATCATGGCTGTGAGACTTCTTTGCTGACTGCTCTTATCTCATCCCTCCTGCCTCTGCCTCTATAACATAGGAAGCTGGAGAGAGTGGACCTCTGGGTATGAGGTATATGCTTGGGGACCAATCCCATGGCGTGGCTCATCCAGTGAGCTGCTCAGAACCAGAATGGGGTTCCTCGATTGTCAGAGCTGTGGCTGCTCTGGGGTTCACAAGTGTGGGACAGGCATGCCTCCCCAACCCCAACTACCTTTTATAGCCTCTTTTACTGAAGAATCCATAGGCAGTATATTCTTCTCCACCAGTTCCAAGGGCCCTGGGCGGAGAGCAATCTTTTCATTGAGGTCATCTGCGAGGCGGGCCCTTTTCAGCTTCATCTGAGCAGTTGGAATGGATCTTTCTGCCGTGGAGGCTACAACATTGAAACAGACAGGATCCGTTTTAGAATTTGATGTCATTTTGTTTGGTTTGGGTTTTTTTGGCTGGGGGTTACACAACACTGTCACACCATGCTCTACCATCCTGATAATTTTTCAATGCAAGCATCATCACTTCACAGGGATTAGCACCAGCGAGCAGACACTTCCAAATAAAGGCAAATGAAGAGGCACAGGAAAGCTGGAGAAACTCGCCTGGAGAGGATTTGTTTTAAAAAAAAATGCAATTTGGCAATTTTGTAAGCAAGCAGTCCATGGGGTCCATGTGGCTTGCTTGACCCTCGGTTCCTGGCTTTTGAGAGTGATTGGCACAGGCCAGGACTGCAGTAAACATCATCTCCTGGTGATAGTTGGTGCGGCAGGGTGGGGGGGGGGGGGGTGCTGTAATTTTCTAGGGGTTTTAGATTTGTCAATGTTGTGATACTGACTGAGAGTCAAATGTTCAGATATATTGTAAAAGGCAAAAAACCAAAACCATTTGAAGTTGATATTTTAATTAAACAGAGGGATTTAAAAAAAAAAAACAACTGAATTTATCCAACAGGCAGTTTTTCATCATTTGGAGGGTGAGGAAGGTCAAGTACAGTGTTCTAAACTCTCACCTTTATGGCTGACCCTAAATGTCCTCTTTAGGGTGAGCTGTGAGTGATTTCCGTGAAAAAAAAATTATGAAGAAAAATCCTGCCAACCTGTTACTTCTGGTGGAGAAATGTAAGGTAAGAGGCTTTCAGGGTCTGTCTCAACATGCTGAGTTTAAACGATGAGGTGTTTATAGACACCTCTCCCAACCCTCCAATCCAGACCGGGGGGTCTTGAGTCTGACTGCGCATTTCTTACACAGCAGAGAAATCTCCTAATTCATTTTGCTGATCATGCTTGTCCAGAAGCTCCACTCAGAAGAATGGACGGGATGATCCAACAGTTAAGAGCACTGGCTGCTCTTGAAGTTCAGGACTCCAGTTTAGTTCCCAGTCCCTAGGTCAGGTGGCTCACAAATGCTTAGGACCCCAGCCCCAGGAGATCTGACACCCTCTTCTGGCTTCTCCGAGCGCTCTCGTGCGACATTACTCTCCTGCCTCTTGCTGACACATGTCATTAAAAAATTAAAATACATCTTAAAAAAAGAAAGAATGTGGTTATCCAGGTCCTGGCTGGACCCCACTTTGACACTTTGCAACACACGCTGCCACAGCCTCTCAGCCTCTCCTCACACAGCCCCTCAGCCTCCAAGCCTGCCATGCATGAATGGATCCACTTATTTCCTGGACATATCAGTCAGGCACTGGTCCCTTCTGCCCTCGGGGCACAGTGTGCTCACTTTTGCAATCTCTTCCCTATTTCCTGTTCCCACCTGAATGAGAAACTCAGGAGAGAGGAGCCGTTGGCATCTCAGTGGGTCTTTGGTACTTCAGGAAACTAATTCTTAATTTCTACTGGGGAGACTAGAAGCCACCGTGGAAGAGACATGTCACAGAATCAAGGGCTGCTGTGGTGGAGAACTTGATACCAAAGACAGTGACGAGGGAAAGAACTCTTGGAACATGCTGGGGGTGGAAGTCAGGCAGGTGCCACAGCGCCGAGACCAGGGCACCTCTGCGCACATGGCGTCACAAATGCCAAGGCTATGCACGAGCAAGTGAAAGGAGCAGGGGATTCGCCCTGCCATACCAGTCTTTCTGAGCTGTCTGTTCTTATTATTAGATCAATACTATCTCTTCCCAGAACTGGACTGCAAATGCACATATTTACATGTTTAGTTGGTCTTCCCAGAATTTGTCTATAAATACTGCTCTGCTCTCTGCTGTTTTCACTAAACATCTTCTAAGCCTTTTCTTATTAAGTCATTACTCTTTGAAGCCCTTGCTGTGGTGGCTCTGTGGAATTAAACGCGACACAGGATCCCCAAGTAAATTTACTTGGGGACCCCCCCATTGTTGGACATTTTACCAGTTTCCATGTTTTCCCCTCCAATTAACTCCTTGCTAAACACCATTTTTGCATGCAAACCTTTGCAAGCTCAAGATTAGATGCAAGGTCAAGGAGTTTGATACACTCTGCCAAAGTGCCCTGTAGAAACACTGACCCGGTTGCACCCTACCAGCAAAATACTGATGCCTGCATCTCGTGCATTCTTGACACATGCAATATCTATTTTCATTTGCTAACTCGACCACTGAAAGTCCGTATCTCAACTGAATGGCCTTTCTTGGTATGTTTGTATAGCTGTAATTTTGTGCTAACACAGCAGCAGGTCCCAGGGTCTTCAGAGGTGTCACTGTAAAGGAGGTAAGAATTGTGTCACTTGTGCCTGAGAGTCCTTAGGATTCTTTAGAACCTTCCCTCCAGATCCTGTGCTGTCTGCTGTCTGTCCCACAGCATCTCACTTACTCCACGTTGGAGAAATATCGGGAAGCCAGAAGAGTCAGAAATGAGGCTGATCAGAGAGGACAGACTCACAACTTCCTCCCTGTTTCAGGGTCTTTCCTACCCTGTACAGCTTGCATCAGGGTTGGAAGGAAATCTGCATTCTAGAGAGAGCACAGGGGTACTGGGTGCATGCTGCACCTCCACCTAAAATGCTCTTCCTTCTTCCTGAACTTGCTCCATACTTCATATCCCAGCTCCTTCCCTTCCCTTCCCCAGTCTATTCTGAGTCAGATGTCTCCCTTCTGAGGCCTCCTCTCTGCATTCACAGACCATGCATTCACAACACCAGGCATTTTCTCTCTTGTGCTGGTTGGTGAATGCTAATTCTCACATTTGCCTTCTCTGTTACCCTGGGAGGGTTCGCTAAGGGCAGACATCCACATCTTGTTCATCTCTGCACTGACAAGGTCAGCCAGTCAGTGCAGCATTTTCTCCCTGATCAAATAGTTCACAGGAAATGTCAAAGTAGAAGCTGAGCCTCTCTGAGGCTGGGCACCAGTGGTCTGAGCCTTCCCATTGCAGGAAAGGCTTCCCCTCCCACCCCCCCCCACCCCACTCAGGTGTCAGATTAAGGTGGCAACTAGGCCTTTGCTTCGTTTCCTCTTTCCCAACATGGTTGCAGCATCCCAGGGAAAAACTTCACGGATCAGCACTGATTTTTCTGAGATGGTTATTTCCCACCCATTAGAGCAGTGGTTCTCAACCTTCCTAATGCTGCAACCCTTTAATACAGTCCCTCATGTTGTGGGGACCCCCAAGCATAAAATTATTTTTGTTATTACTTCATAACTGTAATTTTGTTACTATTATGAATCATTATATGAATATCTGTGTTTTCTGATAGTCTTAGAGGACCCCTGTGAAAGGGTCATTTGACCCCCCCAAAGGGGTTGCAACCCACAGGTTGAGAACCATTGCACTAGAACATAAAGACATCCACAGGGCAGGATCAAATTGCTACTTGGTGACTGTGGCAACCACTAGATGGGCCCCTCACATGAACCGAGAAGGACACTCTGTAGGTGCTCAGGGAAATTGTGGAATTGCCTGGCCTTAGAGTCAGGAGTGGGGTAGATTGTAGCAGAACGTTATTTTAAGATGTGCTCCTTTTGTTGATGTTGCGTTTGTTTAACTCTGTGAAGCTGTGTTACTGTGCTGGTATAAAACACCTGATGGTCTAATAAAGAACTGGCCAATAGCGAGGCAGGAGAAAGGCTAGGCGGGGCTGGCAGGCAGAGAGAATAGATAGAAGGAGCAATCTGAGAAAGGAGAAAACTATCTAGGAGGCAGAGAAGGAGGAGGACTCCAGGGGCCAGCCACCCAGCTACACAGCAAGCCACAGAGTAAGATTGAGATTTACAGAAGTAAGAGAATGTGAAAAGCCCAGAGGCAAGAGGTAGACGGGATAAGTTAAGTTAAAGAAAGCTGGCTAGAAACAAACAAGGCTAAGGCCAGGCATTCATAAGTAAGAATAAGCCTCTGTGTGTGGTTTCTTTGGGAGCTGGGTGGTGGGTCCCCCTAAAGAGCCAAAAACCGAATACCCAACAATAGTAGGTGAGACAGGAAATCAAATCTGAAACAAATGTGTGGCTTTCTAAGCCTTCTATGTGGCTAAGAATGAGTGGATGACTGCTCAAAATGACCTAATGCAAGGCTGGGATGGAGATATCTATATCTATCTATCTATCTATCTATCTATCTATCTATCTATCTATCTATCTATCTATCTATCTATCTGTCTATCTATGGTTTAAAAATATTTTTATTTTATTTTATTAATTAATTTATCTTTGGAGAGGCTTTACAAAGACTTAGCAAGTAGAGACAGGAAACTCTAGAGACAGGGCCCCCTGCTGGGCAGGCATCTCCTAGTTTATGATTTATGTAGCCTTCCTTACCTTGGAGAATGTGCATATTAACCAGGCTGCCACGATCAGACCTGTTTCTGCCCTTGCGCCTCAGGGAATCTTCAGTCTGTAGAAGAAAAGCACAAAACTCTCAATTTCTCTCAAAAGGGAAAAGTTCTCTATGAGTGGTGAATGGAAAATACTCCTTCTCCCATGTTTTTGCAAAGAAACACAAATTTTCCCCCTAGAATTTTAGTATGGGAAAGAAGGGCAGAGGGGAAAAAAAAAAAAGCCTGGGCCCAAATTAAGGGCTATACATACAAAGACATTCTAGTGATATTCATATGGCAGTTGACCTGGAGTCATTTTGCCATCATTGATCCTATTGCCTAAGAGTCACCAAAGCGACCAAGGTCGGAGATAAAACCTTGCACAAATGTGCACTCCAACAGGACTCCACCCAGCCCTTGTCAGCCATCTCTGACATAGCAAAGTGTGAAACCTGTGACCCAGGCTTTGGCAGGCACCGAGGGAAGGATGGTTTGCCACATCTCATTGTCGTGGAGGAGCCGTCTGGAGGGATGGCAGGCTAGGCTCAAACCAACTGAGGATCGCAGGCCTCTGACTCCTTCTTCTGGTTCTTCCCTCTCCCTGTTCTAGGTCTGCCCCTGGTCTCCCCAGTGCTGATGACATCTGTTGCTCATTACTCTGTGGCGCTAAGAATCACAGCTCCTCACAGGCAACTTGGAAGAATCTCAAAATCTTGCTCTTCCTGTCTATTCACAGACAGGCTGCAAGGCTGTAACTAGAGACGACAGCCTGCCGTTTCCATGTCATGGAAGGTTCTGATGGCTCCTCCATTGCATTTATATCGCTGATAAAAGAGGAGCAGAAATCTATGATGAAGGTGCCTGATGAGTACGTCAATTTTTCCTTCAATGAAAAAATAGAACAAACCAAGCAACCCTGTCCCCCAAATTAGAAAATCAAATGAATGCCACTCTTTGGGTGGCTCCAAATGAACCCCACTCACAGCCTTCATCTTCCCACTGAACCTACTTAGGAAAAGCAGATTTTGCTAAGAATGACTGTCCGAAAAGATAAATCAGTGGGAAGGCCAACCTTACTTCCCTTCTTAAAGGTGTCTTGACCTTTTGATGTCTAGCATATCTTTGGTGACTGTCCTCCAACATCGAGTGATTAAGAACGTTCCTTTTTTTCAGCTGAGAACTATCACTCTTAAAGCTTACATGGTAGATGTCATTTTCACAGTTGCCTTTGCTTTTTTGGGAGCAAGAGTCCATATGGTGTGAGGCCAGGGATGTGGCCATTTGGAGTTGGTTGTAGAAATCCTACACACCACTTAAGCCAAAGTTTGAGCATGCAATATCTACACCCTGTAAGCCATATTCAGCAAAGGCAGTTTGCAAAAATTACCTTGTCACTATCCAAATTTTTTCTTGGGTCATGGAATTCAGTTGGACTTTTCAGTGCTGCAACAGAAAGATAGAGAGGTGAGCAGAGGCTGGCTGAGGGCAGGGTCAGTATCGCAGGGTTGTCGTGTGCTTGCTGAGCTATGCACAGTCTGGAAGTGACGGCCTCTACCAGGCTACAAGCAACAAAGGCAGGAAGGTCTGGAGGATGCCAGCTGCTCAGAAGCCACAGGAGACAGAGAAAGGCGGAACTCAGGCCTGAACCAGGAAGAGCAGCAGAGGCAGGTTTTGCAACAAGAGAAGTGGTGGAGGCAGGCCATGCCAAGTTTCTGAGGAAACAGGGGGGCTAGAATAACATTGGTTTGGGGGAGATGCTAAGTGGAGCAACTAACCCTCTCACTGACTTCACTAAGCCCTTAGTTCTAAAAGCTTAGGGGATGGTTGTAGTCTTGGATGCATGGGGGCATCCTGAAGGAAGAGACTTCTTTGGATATAGAATGTGGCTGGTTGACCATGAACAGGCAGTCAAGGGTGTCCAGTGAGAAACTGAGATTCAGAATATGAGAGCTTGAAGGGTCCATGGAGACAGTGAACTCAAATCCCAACCCTAAACCAAGTGGGGAAACTGAGGTCCATAGAAATGGATTGACTTGTCCAGGAGCACACAGTTGGATCCTGGGTCCTCTGATTCCCTCATCTTTTTCCAGGAGTGGTTTTCCAATAATTCTCTGTCAGCCGACATGGGTCTCCCCAGGCAGTCATGCCCAGTGGCATAGAGTAGCACGGAATAGTCAGCCTATACCAGTCAGTGCTTCCACTCTTCTCTCTGGGTCCTTCTATCTCTCCTCGGAGCACCTCTTCACTATGGTTCCATAAACTCAGTGTAGCAAAAGTACAGGACATCTCTCTGCACTTGTCTGCATTTTGTATTGGCTTTCTGGCCTCCTGGGAACAACCTCAGCCAGAAGCCACAGACAATCATGTTTCACTGTAAGGGAAGAGGCTGAACCAAGTACAGAATTGCCTTGCATTTTTTAAAAATTAGTTGTAAGTCTGGATACATTTATGAAACACATGGTCCAGATTCTACAAATATTCTAGCAGGTGTCCATTCTTACACTACAGACAAGGAGGTCATTTTCCAAATCTTGAATTGGTTTCTGGCTAGTTCAGTGTGCGTGTATGCATGCATGTGTGCATGCGTACGTGTTTGTGTGTGCGTGTGCGTGTGCGTGTGCGTGTGTGTGTGTGTGTGTGTGTGTGTGTGTGTGTGTGTCTACCCTTGCATGCACTTTAGCCCTGAAAACTACACAATTCTACTACTAACCTGGTGGAGATGATGCTAACAGGACCTGGTAGGCACCATAGTGGTGCTTGATCGTATTATTTTCTACGTAGGATGCTGTTTGGACATACCCTATCAATTCCCATGCCTCAGTCCAGCATTAATAATGCTGACCAAAGGCCATGCCAAAATTGTCCCAGCTGGCTGCTTTGTACCCGATATAGTCGACACACTCCGTTCTCACTTAGACTGGAGCCACAGAGGCTCTTTCTCCAAGGAAAAAGGGTGAATATTTAGCTTGAATATATATCACATTTCACACTGGTCTGGAAGCAGATTTTCCAGCTTCTGTGAGATGATCACTTTCGGTCTTAAAATGGGCCCTCCTTCTTTCTTACTTTTTCCCAGCCATGTGATTTGGAGAAACAAATGTGGAGGGCTATTGTGGCTCATTGTGGCTCATGCACTTTCATCTACAGGAATCTCGGTGCCCTTAGGAAGGAGGCTTGCCTTTCTCATATCTGATCCCTGGAACTTGACGATGGGAATGTCTGGAGTGACTCTCCCCCTCACCAGGCTACCATGTCACAGAATCTACTTGGACCCTTGTAATGTGTGACCTCTGCAGCAATATGCCTTTACCTCTGTCCCATCATCTGGTGTCCATGGAATTAAGCATTACCTGTTAGTATGGCCGAATTACTTTCATCACCAGTAAAGGAACTGATCCTGAACTGATCTTCCTTAAGTGGTTAGGAAGAATAACATGGTTTTCCTGGAGGAGTTCCACAAAGGGAACCATACTCTTTAGCTATTGCCCACATTCTAAACACAATTTGTTTTTTTTTTTTTAATTCATTGTTAGTATTGTGTGTGCATTTGTATGTATGATGTGTATGTGGGGGCATTATGCCGAGGGGCATGTGTGGAAGACAGAGGACGGCTTTGTGGGGTTAGCTCTCTCTTTTCACCATGATGTGCATTCTGGGCATTGAACTCAGCCTCTCAGATCCGTGCAGCAAATGCCTTTAGCCACTGAGCACCTTGCCGGTCCACACAACTGGTTCTAACTGGACATGAGAGGAATTTACTGATTCTGCATCCTTGAATTATTCAGGTCTCACTAGCAGAGCTTATCCCTTTTCTAAGAAACACTGTGTTCCCTGGATTGGATTTAAAAAAACCACATTTCATTACTGTATCACTCCCTTTCCTGTGAAATGGTTGAAACTCTTTAGTCCTCTGATGTTAGGAGCACAAAGGTCTTCTGAAACCTTTTACGGAAGGGTGGAAAGCTGTGTCCATTTATTGAGGTCTTGGTAAGAACATAAAGAGGTCTACATGTTGCCCTCACCAAATCAATGCTCTCCTCAGGGCTTGCTGTGCGGGTTGGGTGTGCTATGGGGCACTAGCTTGAGGTCACATTGTGGAAAACTCCCCAGCAGAGTGGCCCTGGGGTTGAAGTTTGCCTACTCCGTGACTCCAGAGAATGTGGGCTCTAGCCCTGTCCCCCACAGGCCTCCAAAAATCATAATGCCTCCCTCAGTTGATTTTTTTTTTTAAAAAATACACAAAGGACCACTTTTGCTGCCAGCCCAGGGAGTATCAAATGGCAAAATTTCATATTTAAAGGACACTGACATTTAAGATGGAAAAGGAATTTGGATTTCTAAATTAAAAAAGTAAGTCCATGTGACTTCAAATTAGAATTCGGCTATAAATCCAGTCAGCCACACATCTGACTTGTTCCCCTGGAGGAAGATTAATCGCTCCTCACAGGGGAATTCATGTTCTCGCCTCAGCGTTCAGTCGCAGGCTATTCCTATTTCTGTCCCTACAGCTCCAGCTAATTTGGGTCAGCTGTGTGGATAAACATTTGCCTAGATAAGAACAGGCCTCCTGCGGTCCTTTCTGCTCTACTCTGACTGACTCCAGGCCCCCAGTGGGATCCATCGAAGAAATGAGGCCTTGGATGCAGAGAACTCATTTAGGGCTGAGGTGTGTGCGGGCTCTTTTGCATAGGGCCAGGCTTTGGTTTTGAGTGGTAGCTCACCAGGATGTTGCAGCGCTGACTTCCCTCTAGGGGACCTCTCAAGACCAGGCCTGGAGAGAACTCCTGGTACTCTATCCTACTCCACTGAATATAGACAGAAAGAGATGCCAAGAGCCACAGACGGTTTCTTAGCACAGGCCCCAGGACTGGCAATTCCCAGCATCAACTGGGAACTTGTTAGACGTTCCAGCCCTTGAACCCCACCTCAGAACCACAGCCTCAGAGTTTCTGGGGGTGAAGCATAGGAATTTGACTTTGTACAAATGCTCCAGATGATGTTGATACCTAGGTTTAAGAACCACAGCCGTGGGGCTTGTAAAGCCAGTGTGCCCCTACAGAGGGTCTCACAGAAACAGTGAGTACTAAGGAGAAGCACTGGACCGGGCCTGTCAGGATTGGTCTCCAGCTCCCAGACAGGATGCTCAGGTGAATGACATTGTCTCTTTGGTCCTTGCTGCCTGGAGTCATAGCAGTGTAGTTTGAAAATGCAAGCTCCAGTGAAAAAGCTTTTGCTAGTAAATTTGTAGCTCATTGGTTAGTTGAAAATAGACACGTGGGTCGATAATGAATATTTATTAGGTTTTTTAAAATCTTAACTTTGTGTGTTTGTGTGTTTTGCCGGCATGTATGTCTGTGTAACATGTGTGTGCCTGCTTCCCACAGAGGCCAGAAAAAAGGTGTCAGATCCCCTGAAACTGGAGTTACAGATGGCTGTGTGTTACCACGTGGGTACTGGAAATTGAACCCAGGTCCTCTGCAAGAGCAGCCAGTGCTCTTAATCAACGAGCCAATTCTCCAGCCCTCTACAGGGTACTCTGTGAAGAGGGAGACACAATTATTCCCATACATGAGACTCATGGCACTGTATGATTAAAGGCATCCTGGGTACCTAAGAATTTAGGGCCCGTCTAGCTGAGAACTCTCCTTATTGATATAACTTTGAACTAATCCAGTAGGTTTTCTGCACTTTTGGCTTCCCACTTATAAAATGGGCTTCATGGTGTTTGCTCACCCTGCCTTGCTTTGAAAGGCAGAACAGATACCAAATACTTCCCCCTGAGCAATCAGGATACAGGCTTTCTGTAGGTGATAGCAACTTGGAAATTATTCTCTCTCTTTCTGAGGGGAAGTTGATAATAACTTGCTTATTCTGTGCTCAAATTATAGTCTTAGGGGTTTAAAGACAGTGTATTTGCCCAGTGTAGCTCGTGGCATTTAAGACCTGGTGTGTACACCTACAGAGTCTGACCTAACACATGCAAATACTTGGGAGTTTCTCCCCTCATGGATACAGAGACAAATTCAAAGCGTGTCTCTAGTGACTGCTTTTCAACTTCTGAAGAAACAGGCAACTGGAAAATTGAGGGAGAGATGAAAGAGAAGAGAGAAGTCACAATTGATCCAGCTTGACATGAAAAGTTCAGGGTACCGTCTCCTAGCTCCAAGGGGGAGATGGTAGGGAGAAAGGAAGAGGCAGACAGATTAATCCTCTCATGCCGCGTTCTGCTCAGGCAGCCAACAGTGTGTGGTAGGTGCTGTGGGGAGAAGCCAAGTCAGCTCGTGCACTGGGAAAAGGCAGAGAGACTCTGTCCTGTGAATGTCTCAGAACTAGGGTGAGGCTGCATGGGCAGTGGGTGCGGGGATGGCCCATCATTCTTCTGGCTATTCAGGAGTGCCACAGAGTTCAGGGGTTTACCAAGGCTTTGCAGTAAGTATGTGGCTGATGTAGCTTGGATTAGTCTGCAAAACAAATAAAGGCAGCACCATTCACAGATAGCTCCTTGTATCTTGACATTCATTTACATAGATCAGATCATTGAACTCAAGCTGCCCAGGAATCCCACTCCAGCCAGACATGGCTTTCTCTGAAACTGTGGGTACACAGTGAACTTTTTGGTCCCTAGGTCCTCGAAAATCCATCCCAGTTCTTTCCTCTTCTTTTCCATTCCAGGAAGACAGCTGCATCTCTGTATTCCCTGAGTTTATCCTCATTAGGTGCTCTTTAGCAGCAGAGAAGGAGGGAACATTCAGGTTCTTCCCCTAACTCCCTTGAGTACTCACTCTCAAGAAGGGCTCTGTACTTTTCCCAAGTTATCAATAGAAACAGTTAAATGAGCTAGCTCCTATTGACTGCAAGTCCCTTGATTCAGAAACTGTGTCTGATTCCCATGTGTATGCCCTACATATAGCCTTACTCTTCATAGATACTCACAACTCTAAGGCATCTGGCCCAGGAGGCTGAGAATCTTTTATGCGAGGCCTTTGGAAGGGGTCAGAATGAGATGGAGCCAAAGATTCTGAATTCAAGACTGGAGCAAGCCCAAGCTAGGCCATACCCTAGCACAGAGATGGGAGTTGGGTGTGACACTCCACCTCTAGCTCTGGAGTTACTGATAATGGTGAGCTTCTGGGAGAAAGAGAGAGTTTTCTCTAAGAGTGTAGCCCCCTGGTAAGTTGATGCTGCTCCATTGGAAGCCTACACGTCCAAGAATATTTGAGCATCACAATTTGGTCTTGATGGATTTAAATAAAATGACAGAAAGTTGGTTGAGTAGGGAATCCAGGGTGTGTCTGGGAAGAGCTGGGGGATGGAAAGTGAATATAAGCAAAACACTTAGTGCAACTATCAAAGGAATAATAAAATTTAAAAATAAAAATGCATCTGCCTGGGAGAGTGATGCTCAGGGATAAGAAGTATATGGAGGAAATGTCTGAAAACAATGACCAGCCCACACCCTCCCTCGACATTTCCAAGGGAAGAGGAGGTTCTTGTCTCAAGCCCCAAGAGTGTGCTGTCTGTTATTATGTCTTGCATTCTTGAGCCTGCAGGCCTGGTGAAGACACCCTTTCAAACCCTAACTTCACTGGAGAATCAGGCAGTTCCATTTGGGAAATCATATGTAGCTCTGGGAGATAAGTCAAAGCAATAAAGCTTTTAGATTTCACGGCTGTTTAGAAAACATGAACTTCACAACTCACTGTGAAAGCTATCTTAGGATATGGCTCAGCCTCCTACTCAGGTCCAAAGAACACTTTCTTCTTTAAGTTGTTCTAAGGTTCTATATTGGCCTAAGAATACAAGAAGACATCTGTCTTCATTTCTAGTCAGAAGATGGTGCATTTAATTTCAGTCAAAGCACCAGGAGAGGGAACACCCTAAACTCATGCAGACAAGGACATCGTGAATGCTTTTAAAGTGACTGGAGGCATTGAAAAGCGAATATTGTTGCTCCTGGTGTGGACTGTTTGTTCCTTAGCAGCAACCTCATAGCCTGCACAATGTCTGGCCACGAAGAAGAAAGGAAATTGAACCCTGTTGAACTAGATGGACTAGTTAACTGGAAGGCACATCTCAGCTCACTGGAGTCAGAGAAGAGAAAACTTAGAGTTTCATCATCACTCTGAGAAAAAGTGAGATCTGTCAGAGGCTAACAAGTAGTTTGCCATTCACAGCTGGTCAGGATGAAACATCTCATTGAGATTATTGGAACATCCTTCACATTTTCCCGGTCGGTCTTTACAGTCCTCGGGATCAAAGCCAGGGTCTTTTGTGCCTGAGAAGTGGGTGTTCCACCATGAGCTACACCCCACCTTGCTACTTGAATATTTTTGTCACAATGGCTTTAAGTTCTTACAAATGTAAAACGATTTCTCTCAAACATTTGAGAAGAAGGGTCTATGTGGGGCCCGAGCATGATAGGTAGAAAGGGGGTCTGTGTGGGCACTGGACATCATAGGTTCTGACCTCAGCTCTATCACACAAAGAGAGGGCTGGCTTTTCTGCAGTGGCTAGGCTCTGGAGACAACCCAGTGTAAAAAAACAAACCCCTCCCCCCAAAATAAAATAAAATAAGACAAATTCTGCCAAAGAGTGGCAGTTTACCTTTAACTAGGTATATGTGACGATTTAGAACAAGCCACTAATGTGGCCATTGGTCTCGTGTGTAGGCAATTTATAGGAGAATTACAGAGAGAATTACAGTTATTCCACACCATGGGAAAAGTAAGATTTTTCAATAATCTTATTTTATATATACTTAAATTTTTGCAAGTTAAAAAGAGAAGGACCTGGGATGTACTGGATTGTCTTTAGGATGTTTGAAAACTCTCCTAGACCTTCAGTTTCATTTTCATGAATTTTAACTAGAAGTAGGGATTTGATACCATGAGTGTTTCAAACCTCTGCTGAAGAAAAACACCACTCTAGTGAGGAGACTTTGAGGTTTTTAGGAGAGATGAGGAATGGCCCATGGAGTGGTGTAGATCATCAGCTCTACCATTTTCTCTCTTTTCCTTTCCTCTTTCTCTTAAAAAAAATTGAAATGATGGAAGAAGGTCTTCTTGTGGCAGACAATGAGACCCCACTGAGGTAGACTTATTGTCAACTCCCCCGAGCATTCTGAATTCCTCCCAGGAATCGTCTTGATCATTACTGTGGGCCTCTCAGTACATGGCTCTGGATTCTGTACACAGTTAATTATCAAATGGTTTAAATGAGGCTAAATCCAGGAGAAACCGAGCTCTTGGATCTTCTGCCATCATTTGCCTTTAGGCATGCCCTGGCATACTGTGTGGCAGCTCAGTCTCCTATGAGGACTCTGGGCTCACCCACCAGCAGGGGAAGAGACTGGTCCTTTCTCCAGCTTTCTGAAGAGAGCTGAGCAGAACCAATCCATCCCACAGGGTCTGCCAGACACTCACACACTTTCCCACAGCAGGAGCTGCTAGAAACTCTGGTTGGGAGGAGGTGGCTAAACCTTTATCATTTGGCTGAGTCTCAAGTGAAATAATTCATTCTTTGCAGGACTTCCCTGCCCTGAAATTGTCTTGATGATGCAATGGGCTAGCCAAAAATTCTCTGTAAACACTTTAATAGTGTTTTGTTGATATCTACATGACTTGGGCCTGAACATTCCAGACAAGAAAACATTACATCTCCACTCTGTTCCTCCACGGGGAGAGATGCTTAGCTTCCACACCTGACGTGAGAGCCGTGACTTAAACTCTATCCCCGGAGTCATCGATGTCTTGACCTGTCATTTTTCACTTATTTCCAGAGTTACCTCCATAGGCATCAAAAATACTCTTATCCAAATGCCAGCTGTGAAATCCAGGCTCAGCATTCAGGCATGTGGGCTAAATGTTGTTTTAAATCAGTTGTGAACTTGGATGGACTAAAAGGTTCTGGCGTACGTCAGCCATCTGCCCTTCCAAAACTGAGGAGACAGGCACAAGCTTTGAGGGAAATCATTTTTTCTCTGCCCTATCCAGTCTCAGATCCCCGTCTCCCATCTTTCTCACTTTCAGGAGACTGATCAGACTAAAACACCAGACACAAACCCACTGCCTCAGTTTACCAACAGAATGGTGTTGCTGAAGCAGTTCTGAGAGTCAGGGGCCACCTGTCCCTTCTGTGTTTAGGAAAAACTCTAAAAAACGCTTTGGCTCCAAAGCTCCCTGCTGTTCACCGTCTGTATGCTTAGCTGTTATGAAGGCTACTTTTGACTCACAAAAGAAAAGGCTTGCAGACTCTCATTTCTGGGCAGTCCTCCCTTGGGGCCTTAGTACCTATATGTATTAACCACCCTAGTCTGTCTAAAGGACAAGTCCAAGAGCTGTGCACTGAACACTGAAGCCCAGTTCATCAGTATCGTGCAACAATCCAAATTTCTGCGGGTGTTATTATGAACATTGATTGTTTAAAAATTTTATTTGGAGAATTAATATGACCTAGAAGGATTTGAACTTTGATTTCATGTGTCTGGAACACCTTCCCCTGTACTTCCCTAGACAACCAAGAATTAGCTTTAGTTGTTAGACATTTCAAATAATCTTCGAAAACCCCTGATAATCCCTCTTTGACTCATATTTTGGGCAGTAGTTCAATATTATAGTATTCATGCTAGAACAGTATTGCAACTGAATCTTCTAGAAAGGAAATGCTTGACAACATTCAAGTAATTGTGGGTTCAAACAGCTGAACCCAACCCAAGAAGGTGAAAGGAAAAAAATAGCATACATTTGGTACTTCTAGAAGAACCAATTTCAAAAGTGGGAGAAGAATCAGGGATGCCCATCATCCACTGAGTTTACCCTGAGAGTAAATCTACCATATTGGAGTCTTAGCAACAAACCCTATGTAGGTAAGGATAGGGGACAAAACATCCATGGTCTAGATGTTTGCAGATTCAGATTCCTGGGGACTTTGTCTGAGAGATGCACCAATTTAGACTAACTGATCTCTAGGGTCTTGCAGTCTCCCAGCTATCACAATGCTGAGTGAATGAGGAAGAGTGGCGAGTACTCACGTGGTATTAAGCCTTGGTTAGCCAGCTGCTCCTGGGTCCTTCGCTGTTGAAGCCGTAACTGTAAGACTTGGAAAAGCAAGCACGAGATGGTAAGTTGGGACAGAAGGATTACAGTCACATGTTTTCATCACACTTCCCTAGCCCTTCCGCTTTAACGTCCAGAACAGCTCTGAACGCTATTGTCAAGTCCATGTTTATTTCTGACGCAGACAGAAAGAGAAGTGTGAGAGGAGCAGGACGGACGCTCACAATGCTGCGAGCCTACAGAAGCTAGAATGTTGGACTCCTTTGAAGAGACTCCTTTCCCCCCTCCCCGTATGGTGTTTCCCTCTCTCTACTGCACTGTTTCCAAGATGTATTATGACCCAATGCTTTTTGGGTGGTAGCCCATGACTCCAAAGGGACACAAAGCGAAGAAAACATCAGCCTTGAAGACCCATTGGAACCCAGGTCCCATCCCTACCACTCAATGTCCACCTGGGCACACGGCTTACTCTCCTGGAGCCTCGGATTCTCATTTGGTATAGGAGCCACACCTGGCTATCAGGATTGCTTTAAAGCACAATAAAACAAGTGTACGCACGTAGCTCAGCAAAGTATCTGTCAGCAATGCCTCTGTTAGATGCTAGTACTGGGAGACTCTGGGATTCTTAAGGGAATTTAAAGGTTATTGGAACAGTGCCTCTCTTAGAAGAAAAACATATAAATTACCCAAACATTATATTATGTACATGCATTAGATATTCATAACACGAAGATTATGCATAAAACATGTACCTGCAAAATGTTAACATTGAATTATTACAGGATTGTTAAAATATGAGTAGAATATTTACAATCTTCGCCTCTCCCTCAAACACATTCTGCCTTTGGAAATTCAGCTTTCCTCTCATGAATATTCTATTTCCTCAGGAAGATTCTGGCTTTCCATCATGGCCCTTGGCTTCAGTTGTCAGGAATAAGAATGTGTATTTGTCAGCCTCCATCACCGTGATAAAATACCTGAGTTTTGTAAACACCTTGGAGTGGAAAAGTTCGTTTTGGTTTGTACATGCAGAGGTTAAACCAACCCCCTCTCTAATTAAAAACAGTAAACACCGAATAAACCACATACACACACACACACACACACACACACACACACACACACACACACACTACACTACACACACCACATACATATACAACACATACACACAACACATACATATACCACACACAACACACACACACACACACACACACACACACACACACACACACACACTGAAGAATAGCAAACATGAATTAAGCAGATGGCAGAGGGGCCCAGAGCTTGTGGAAAGGACCTGACTTCAGGTTCCAAACTTGGAAGCTTAGGCTTGGAGGTAGCTGCAGTGAGAAAAGTGACAGTTTCCGACAACTAGAACTCCAGAAGTAAACCAAACTCAAACTTCCGGTCAGAGGTGTCAGGGAGTGGGGTTCTGCTAAGTGCTGCCAACTGCCAGAGTGAGCTGAGGAAATCAAACAAGAGGACAGTAAGAGTGGGGGCCCCTAGCTCATCAGAGTCCCCCAGTTTCACACTGGTTCCTACTGTTTCCATGGAACAGACTCTAGACACCTGGGCAAGAGTCAGCTTAGTTTATGCTCGGTGGACGAATTTTCTGCTATGATAAACACAGAACAATCTGCATTTCCAGAAGACTGTGACAGGCTTTGGGGTTTGGGTCCAATGTCCGGGGAACAATGTAAGATTACTCTATTCACAAAGAAACCAGTCGTTGGAACACATGCTAAGTGCAAACAGCAAAATAAAACAAACCCAAATGCTGGGCTTGGGATGACCCTAGTGTTGGGTTACCAGACAAGGACTTTAAAGGGGTGATTTTCAACAGTGTTCAGTAAAGTCAAAGAAGCAACGGTCAAAATGCAAGACAGGATGGGCAATCAGACTACAGCATGTAAAAAGAAACAACACTGGAATACTAACAATGTAACTGTAGAATATCTGAAAAACACTGTTTTGTGGAAAATAGGTTTACTAGATCTGTAAACTCAGAGGCCCATCACACTGAAGGAGAAAAGCAGAGGGGATTAAGTGAGCAGATTCTCAGGGGTGTGTAAAACAATATCCAAACATCTGACTCTGAGGAATTAAGAGTGCCAAAGGGTGAGCAGCGGGAGAAACGGTGGCCAAATAGCATGTTTCGGGGGGTCATGTCAGAGTGAATAGCCACAGGCTTCTCATTGGAACCCCGGGAAGATGGACGATCAAAACAAAGCCAGAGGCCCCCAGCCTAAACAGAAGCACCCTGCAGGTACGAAGGTGGAATCAAGTGATGTTCAGAGAAAGGAAAATAGCATCATGCTAGCTCATGTCATTTCAAGAACTGATTATGGAAATTAAGGCTGAAAGGAAACCTGGATATTCAGGAATAAGAATATTAGCAACACTATCTAGAAAACATTTCAGATTTATTCCTTTCCTATTAATTTAAAGAGCATGTGACTGTTGGGAGAAAGACTGATCTCCACCTGGTGGCGTTTCCAAGACACATGGATGCAAAGCAGACTTGATGGTTATAGAGGAATAGCCCTGCCCTTCTTTAGGCCTTGAGTTTCCCACAAAGGTCCTCATGGCCAAGGTTTGGTCTGTGGCCTGAGTGCTCTGGAAGAGGTGGCGTATTTAGAAAGTAGAACCTAGCAAGGAAGTTAGGTCACTGGGGTATGTGTGCTTGGATGAAATATCGGGCCCTGGCCCCTTCTTTCTATTTTTCTTTCTGCTGTTTCAGATGCGCTTCCTCCTCCGCCGCTTCCTCCTCTGCCACATGCTCCTCTGCTGCATGCTCCGATCATGCTATGCTGCCTTGCTATGGGCCCAAAGCAACAGCACCAATGGATCAAGGACTCGGGCCAAGACAATCTCTTCTTGTTTATATGCTGATTATCTCAAGTACTTTGCAACGATACTTTTTACTAAAATGAGCCTTTGACTATACACTTTGTATAATTTACATGCAGTGGTATGATTTCAATGATAAGAGTTAACAATGCATTTTATAAACCCTAGAGCACCCACTCCCAAAATAGAAATACACCTTTAACAGCCAATACAAGGAATGCTGGCCGGTGGTGTTGGTGTATGCCAGTAGGATTTGCTGAAGGAGGTGGAGGCAGGAGGATCATGAGTTCGAGGACAGCCTGAGCTACACATTCTTGTCTGGTGGTGGTGGCGCACGCCTTTAATCCCAGCCCTTGGGAGGCAGAGCCAGGTGGAGCTCCAAGGGCTACACAGAGAAACCTTGTTTAAAAAAAAAAAGACAAAAAAACAAATAAAAAAGAATGCTAAATTATTAAAAATAACCCAAAGGAAGAAAAAAAAGAGGAAATATTGGAAAAAAGAAAGAGGGACAACCAGAGAACGAATAATACAGTGAGTGACAGCTTTAGACCTCACTGAATCAGTCATTAGATCAAAATTTGCTAGTAAAACACCCAAAGTAAAAGACATCATTAGAATGGGTTTTAAAAGAATGTTATTTAAGCCTATATTTCCTACAATAAATATACTTTATGTATAAAGATTCTGATTAAAATAAATTGAAAAAAGATCTGCCACTCAGAAAGTGTCAAAAAGCCTGAGTGATGGTTAGACTCTCACACAAAATGGACGTCTAGTCAAAGCTTACGAGAAGCCTAAGGCATTTTAGAGGCCGGGGAGATGGTACAGCAGATAAAGGTTCCTGCCACCAAGCTGCCTGATCACCTGAGTTCGATCCCTTGGACTCGCACAGTATGAGATGAGAAAGGACTCCAGCAAATTATCTTCTGACCTCTACATACATACATAAGGTCCCCCAGGCACACACCCCCACTTAGATACATAATAAATAAAAACATTCTTAAATGTGGCATTTTAGAATTATAAATGGACAATCATTAGTAAGACATAGCAACTGTACATGGACAACATGAGTGTCTTCTCTCAACATTTGATTAATCTAAATTAAAAAAAAAAAAGATCCCCAGCAACTCAGAGGAGTTGAGCAGTCTAGGCAATCTTATCCTAGTTGGCATGTATCTTGACTTAGTTACAGAGCACTGCCCCTGTCAACTGCATGACACTCTTTTGAAGGGCATGTGGTACTACTGCATTGAGCCACCATAGGCAACAAATGGTCCCAACTTCAGAAGGGCTTAGATCACTCAGTGCGTGTCCTCTGATCAGACTGCAATTAATTAGCAATCAGGAGCAATATGTGGCTAAGAAAAATATTTGGCTATACACTTTAAATAATTTGCAGGCCAAAGAAGAAAGCACAAGGGAAATTAAAAGTATTTTGGCCTGAATGACCGTGAGTAGAAGATGTAATTTATGGAAAACAGCAACCACCATGGTCAGAGAGAAAGTCAGGTCTACATGCTCATATGAAAAGAAGATCAGCTTAAGATCAGTGACCCAAGATTCTACCTTAAGAAGACAGGAAAGGAGGATGCCCCAAACAATAAATAAAAAATTAATAGAAATTAAAGCAGTGTGGTGGTTTGAATGAAAATGGCCCTGTCTTAGGGTTTTTATTGCTGCAATGAAACACCATGACCAAAAAGCAACTTGGGGAGGAAAGGGTTTATTTGGCTTACACTTCCATATTGCTGTTCATTATTGAAGGAAGTCAAGACAGGAACTCAAACAGGGCAGGATCCTGGAGGTAGGAGCTGATGCAGAAGCCACGAAGAGGTGCTTCTTATTGGCTTGCTTCCCATGGCTTGCTTAACCTGTTTTCTTATAGAACCCAGGATACTCTGGGATAGAACTACCCATTATGGGCTGGGCCCTCCCCCATTGATCAGCAACTGAGAAAATGCCTTACAACTGGATCTCATGAGGGCATTTCTTCAACTGAGGCTCCTTCCTCTATGATGACTCTAGCTTGTGTCAAGTTGACACACAAAACCAGCCAGTACAGGCCCCCATAGGCTCATATATTTGGGTGCTTAGTATCCAGTTGGTGGAACTGTTTGGAAAGGATTAGGAGGTGTGGTCTTATTGGAGGAGGTGTGTCACTGGGAGTGGGCTTTGGTGTTTT